AGAACATACTGTTAATTGAAGAAAGATGCAAAGAAGCTGAGGCAGGACAGAAAGCATGGAAGAGCCGCACTCGGTAGCTCATGGCTTTAACTCTAGCACTCAGGAGGCGGAGACAGCCTGATCTACATAGTAAGTTCCAGGGCAGACAGAGCTACATAGTGAGACCCTGTTTCCAAAAAAAAAAAAAAAAAAAACCTCAAAAAAGACAGATAGCAAAGATGATAGGGACAGGGAAGGAGTCTGACTTAAACCTCGTCAGGTGAAAAGCAAGAATTGCAACATAATTAAGGTGGCCAAGGTACGGGAAATAGTCTTTCATATACAGATCTCTGTGTGTGGTGTACGTGCATGCTCCTGTGAGTGTGTGACTGTGTGGGCACATGTGTAGAGACCAGAAGTCATCAGCTGTCTTCTATCTACCTTATTTTTATGAGAAAGGGTCTCTCACTGAACCAAGAGCACAAAAATTCAAGCTAGGCTAGCTAGCCAATGAGCTCTAGGAATCTGCCCGTCTCTGTCCCTCCCAGTACTAAGCACAGCATCATGCCTGGCTTACTATGTGAGTGCTGGGGATCTGAACTAAGGTCCTCATGCTTGCATGACAGATACTTTACCAAATGAGCCATCTCCTTAGCCCAAAGATATTTTATGTAAAATACCAATGAACCCTGATGATGGCTGGACCATATGTGACCTTAGGTAGTGAATTACTCCTCTCCCAGACATTTCCTGGAAATCTTAAATGAGACTATTAACTTTGTTTACAGTGATGATATCCCAACATCCTGCATCTCCAGGATCTAGAGGTTTATCAACTGTATCCTGTCAGGTATACCTCAGAAAATACCAGAGATCTCAGGGGAATTCCTTAGCAGTAACTCCAAACCCACCAAAATGGTATGACTATTACAGAGCCAATGAAATGGAACTCTTCTCTGACAACCCACACCCAGGGGCTTAGGATCAGTCTTTCTTCCTCGGTGCCTCTTTTTAAGCCTTGTGCTTTTAAAGTCTATATTAAAATACCAAAGATGACAGTGTATGGTGTGGTTGGTAGACTGCTTAGCATGCAAGAAGTCCTGGGTTCAATCCCCAGTGTCACATAAACCAGCTGTGGTAGCACACCTCTGTAATTCTAGGGATCAGGAAGTGGCGACAAGATCAGCTTCAGCTACATAGCCAGTTCAAGGGTAGCCTGTGCTAAATGATACCCTATGTTAACTTTTAATAAACTCCAACTCTGGGACTGGTGAGGTACGTTAGTGGGTCTCTAAAGGTACTTGCTGCCAAGCCTGACAACCTGAGTTCAATCTTAGTGGAAGAAGGAACTGTCTTCCTCAAGTCCCAATTTCCACACGCAATGTGACACTCAGGGGCACACTCACACACACATACCCATAAATAAATAAATAATAATAATAAAATCCTACCCCAACTCTACTTCACATTGGCTCACATTGAAATCCTTTCCTAAGTCAGTTTTACCTGAGTCATGATCCCGAAAACATTAAGGGGACTCCTCAGGCACTGCAGGTGACTATGGAGCTAGCCTTGGCACACGCCCATAATCTAGGCACTCAGAAGGCAGAGACAGAAGGACTTTGGCAAGTTCAAGACCAGTCTGGGATGCATAGTGAGTTACAGGGTACAGCTCATCTCAAAAAGAGGCTAAACTAGGTCAAGTGAGAATGTGAGTCAACTGAAGAGGAATTCACAAGCTAAAAGTCTGATGGCAGAGCACAAAACACAATGAGCTGATTAAGACGTGGAAACTGCAGGGTGTGGTGGCGCACACCTTTGGTTCCAGCAGAGGCAGGCGGATCTCTGTGAGTTCAAGGCCAGCCTGGTCTACATAGCGAGTTCCAGGACAGCTGGGGCTACAGGGAGACCCTGTCTCAAAAAGACCAAAGGAAAAAAAAAAGATTAAGATACAGAAAATAAGCCAGACGTGGTGGCGCATGCCTTTAGTCCCAGCACTCAGGAGGCAGAGGGCAGGTGTATCTCTGTGAGTTCAAGGTCAGCCTGGTCTACATAGTGAGTTTCAGGCCAGCTAGGGCTACAGGAGACCTTGTCTCAAAAAGACACCCCCCACACACACAAAAAGAAAAGATATACACATTAGAAAACTGCATCTATACATGTCTTCAGAAATTTCTACTTATAAACAACATGAACTATAGCATTATCTCAGAAAATGTACTTTTTAATTTTATATATCTGAATGATTTGCCTGCATGGATATAAGTATACCACATGTATGCAATGCCCAGAGGCCAAAAGATGGTGTCAGATCCCCTAGAACTAGAGTTACTGACAGTAGTTTGCCACCATGTGGGTGCTGGGAACCAAACTTGGGTCTTCTGCAAGAGCAGCCAGTGCTCTTAACAGCTGAGCCATCTCTCCAGCCCCAAAAGTACTTTTTTCAAAACAGAGATTAACAGTATTACTTTACATTTAATCAAGTACTTAATAAATACCAGGTCTATTTTCAGAATTTCACATTAACTTTTTCATCTGTACAACTGTGAGGAAGCTAGCATTAGCATTAGCAGACTTGGGGGTCACTGAGGATAGATTTTCCCCCATCATGATTAGCATTGTGGCACACATCTTTAATCCCAGCACTTCAGAAGCAGGGGCAGGCAGATCCCTGTGAGATCAACACCAGCCTGGTCTACATAGTACATTCTAGGCCAGCTGGAGCTGCAGGGAGGCTCTGTCTCACAAAAACAAAATTCACTTTAAAGGACAGCAAGACGGCTTAGCAGGTAAAGGCACTTATGGCCAAACCTGACGCTAGTTGGATCCCCAGGGGCCAATGATAGAACAGACTCCCACAAATTGGCCTCCACATGCACCCAAGCACACACACATAATGCAATTTTAAAAATTCACTTTAGAACATATACTACACTCATGGTTAGAAAGCAAGCATAGATAGTTGCCTTTGCTCTATTGTTCTAGTTCCCCCATTCCCACAATACTGTCATTTTGAAAAGTTTATTTATCTCAAGGTTTTTCTTAATGGAAACACAAAGATACCCATTTTCTTACTGCAAATAAAGCATACTCTACATTCTGTACCTTGTTTTAATAAATTTCAGTTATTTCAGTGTTCATAAAGCCCCCTCCTCACT